ATTATTTAGTTAATTTTAATTTAATTAATTAATTAAAAAGTAGAATGAAACATYAATAAAAATAAAAATAAAAATTATCATAATAGTATAAATTGTAAGATATATTATAATTAATATTACTGTGATGTTGAGGAAGAGCTGGTTATTTTGCCATTTTTCCTAGACAATCTGTTGGATGCCTGAGCAAGCCAACTTTTGATTGATTGCTCAATATCTTTATCAGGAGCATTTTCAAAAAGTTTGATACTCCTTATAGTATCTGAAATAATATGACATTATTTGATTATTTATATAATAAACATTGTATATGTAAGCTGCATAATATATTTATGAATGATTATKCTTTTATGGTATGCAATTTTAAAGGGTTGTAGGGTTTTTTAGTCATTAGAATGATTTTTAAACATGCTAACTCCCATTTTTCACTTAAATAGTTAAATATTAAAATTCTAAATTTTAGAATACTTATACAAGGATACTTAAATAATTCTACATAACATATTTTTAAAATCTTGATATTTTTATTATTAGTTATGACTTATTACCTAAGAAGTGTTCTGCAGATATACATGCAAACTTTTATTTTCCAAATGAAAACTTTCCTTTTTGACTGTAATTATTATAAATTTAAATCAAAATCCTAATGAATAGTTTCTAATAGTTATTTATTAAAAAAAAAAAAAGTTATTTTAATTTTTGTACTATAATGCTTGGAGTTTTGGATCTAATATCTAATATATATTATTATTATCTACTTATGTTTGAATATTTATTTAAATACATCCAAATTATTAAAAAAAATCTTTGCTGAATAATTGAAAATGTAAAATGGTGGTTCCAATTTGTAAACCTCAAGTTTTGTATTACCATAGGACCTTTCTTATGTGGTGCATAACTCTCAAATTATTCAAACATTTAATCAAGTGTATTAAAAAAAAAAAAATAAATATTGAATACATATTATAATTAAGTATAAAAATGGTGGAGTATGTTTAAAATTCACCCTGTATAATTTATTATCATATTGAAGACATTATTATTTTTTACTTACCAAATATTAATTGGCAACTTTTAAATTTTGAAAAAATATTTTTTCCTTTAAAACCCAGGTATGAGTACTGCTTTAAAAATGTGTCACTAAATACATGTTGCATGATTCGCCTGACTGTTCCGGATATATTCTTATCAGATAATCTTGCCAACTGTTTGATCTACAACATGCAATTTCAATATGAATAAAAAAAAACATTATCTCTGAGTGTAAAGAATAAACACAATAATGCAAAGGTAGGTACATAATATACACAATATATTTTGTATCTGATAAAATATAAATTTTGAGTACTAAATAAACATGTAATATAAAATAACAGTTTCTGTCATCATTTAATGAAGTGTAATCAATCTGGACATGCTATTATTTGTTTTAAACATAACAAAATATGTTTAATTCACTTAGGTACCTAGTTAATGTATAACTATTAAGTATACTTATTTTAACATTAAAAATAAGAACTATAGCTATTATATCATACACAACAGTACAACACATACATATAATTATAAAATTAAATAACTAGAAAAAATACATATTTGTGAGTGATAATCGTATATATATATATTATTATAATTATAACTGTATCTTACCATTGCATTTCGTCTTGTTACATCTTTCAACCATTCTTCTTGCTGATTTAAATCATTTTCATTATCGATTGGCCAAACGTCATCATAAATTGCATCATCATTACATTGTGTTATAGTTGGGTCTTTAGCAGTCAACTTTTCAACTATAGTTTTTGAAATATTTTGTAGGCACTCAACACTGTAAGCCAGACTTTTTATTTCATATTTGATTCCGGTTAATAAATTTATTGTTTGCTTATGGAGTTCTA